AACTCATTAGATGGACCGACATTTATCTCCAAATTATTCTGTACAAAAAATACCAACTCACGGTTGGGTCTTACCCCATGTGTCAGCAATAGTAATGTAACTTCAGATTTTTAGATGAAAGGTCACATTTCCTCGATTATACATTAATGGCAGTCGAGTGCTCTTGTTTTTCATCTAAGTGGGTGCCATCGGGCGGTAAGCGGGATGCGGGTTGGCTGCTTCCGTGTGTGAAAAGTGGGTGGCTCGGTGTGGCATGATGGTGCTTGGCAATTCCGGCGAGGAGGTGGGGAGTGATGCTGCTTGGAAGTTTTGCCAGCGGCGACATGCGCGCCGTAGTGCACAAGGCCAACACACGATTTCCATTTCCTCATTATTTGTAGCGCCAGGCAACAATTTGCACTCGAAATTCTGTGTAAACTTTTTGGGTGCCTCAAAACCAGAATCTGCTCATCCAGGCATAAAGGCCCTTTTTTCCAGGTGGCAAATTCAGCTTTCGTTTTAAAATGAGTTTTTTGCCTCAGGCAGAAGTGTGTTCCTGGACTGTAATAGATGTTTACTGCCTCATGCAATTTTAAGGAATCTATCGTTTCATATTAACGTGATTTCATAACAATATCGAATTGATGCACTGCTGGATGAAGGACTGCCCATGTCATGTTTGTCATGGGGATTGACCATACTTCACCACGCTGGTCAGCATGGGTTAGTGGAGGAATTAAGGTGGAGGAATTAAGTTGGGGGGGGGGGGGGGTAGCAACCTCTCAGAATCGAACTCAGGGCCCGGGCTCAAAGTGCAGTGTTCTAACCACTGCCCCACCACTCCACACACATTAACTAGTATCGTACATCCATTTAGATATACAGAACATAAATACTTCACTGATAAAGTACATATATATTTATCCATGACTGACGAGACTTTTAATCAGGTTCCTGATTGGATGTGTAATTATATTCTCACGGGGGGGGGGGGGGGGTTAAATGTAGTCGTTTTTAAATTATCCAATCGTATTGCTTGTATCAACTGATGCGGTGCTCTAACGAATCGGGTAATGTGTCGCAGGCAATTAATTAAAATACGTTTTTTTACCTGGAGGCACAATTTTCTGCGATGTTACAAGGACACGGGGTGGTGTTCTGGCAGGCTGCCATTTGATTTCTGGTTTGGCTGAGATTGGAGCTGCCTTTGTCCTGCTACTCAACTCAGTTAAATTGTTGTGATCTTGGAAATGGGAAAGGAATTTCCGAGGGAAATTTTGCCCAAAGAAAACTTTTCGTACTCGAATATTATTTTACGTTTAGATAATACCCAACATGACTAGTACTTAATAAAAAAAATGTAAATCGATATATATATATTTTGTACTGTTTGGGTCTTTCGGTAAAGTCATGTAAATAGGAAAAAAATGTATTTGATTTTCTATCTACGTGACTTTACCGAAGTATAAAACAAGTTATTATTTTATTTATTTTCTATCTACGTGACTTTACCGAAAGACCCAAAGAGTATGAATTATTGCAGTCACGAAAGCTTTAAGTCAAGATTGGATATATTTTGGTTTGTATTTTATTTGTTATACACACGTGTTCTAAATTAAAAAAGCACACTTTTTATACTGATTTCCTTTCGTACTTGAAATGCAAATAATGAATTTCATATCAGGTAATACCGTACAGGGCTTCAGTGGTTCATATTTATGTATGTATGTTAAAAACATTGCACCGTACAAAGCCAACCATGCTAATCTCAGATTTAGTGTGCTCCAAACTCGGCAAACCAAATTCAATTCCGGGCCACAGATAATATAACCAGGGGCAACCTCTGTCTCAACTGGCCCTGGGATTCTCTTCACTTATATACACTGAGCAGCATAGTGAAGTATGGTCAAACAACAATGAGTGGATTGACAATTTGTCTGTGAAATATACTGTGCATCCGTACATGAGTTTGTCTGGAAGTTCTGGTTTTGACCTCGACACGGTTAGTACCACAGCAGGAGCAAGTTGAGGAAACCTGCTCCTAACCTAATTCTAGATTTGAAGCTTTCGTGACTGCAAGGATTCATATTCTTAGGTTTTTTCGGTAAGGTCACGTAGGAAAAACATCAAAATTAATAAAAAATAAAATAAAGATCACGACGTTTCGGAGGCAACACAAGTCTCCGTCATCAGGTGGGACAGTCACAGCCAGATTAGCTGCATCAAGTGAGGCAATGATTCAAGATGTAATCCCTTAAAAGCGAGTTGAGGGGGGAGGAGAGGGGGGGGAGCTCATCAGAATGTGGTAGCCAATGAATGGAACGTATCGGGAGGGAGGGAGGGGGGCGGGGCCAACAGGGTGGGCGACGGCGTGGAAGCGATTGTGCGCAAGAGACAAACTGCTGCACACGCCAACGCATTGGACAGAGAGGGAGGGGGAGACCTAATACACATGATACAAAATAACGGAACTGCCATTGTTTATACCAATGCTGGCTGAACAATGAAGAGATTACTGTTAAACACTCGGTAAAGTAAAGTAAAATAGTGCATGTCAGATTAGATGGTCCAAAAAAGTGCAATTAAGTCTTTTTTGCGTGGTTAATAACATTTTTCCAATGATTACTAAGTTTGTACCCATCATCACGGTTGAAATTATGTCTGTGTTTGTATATTTGTATGGCTTCGTGTACAAACCTTTGATGGTAGCCAGGAGGTTTGCAGAGAACCTTGGTCTCGGAAAAGACAATTTCATGAGAGCCCACCGAGTTGTAGCAATGATCGGCAACGGCCGAAGAATCAGTTCTGCCGTGTTTCAGATCTGCTCCTAACCTGTATAATCCCACACTTGATGAAGCACTGCAGTTACCTGGACACAGGTGCAGTAGAAATTTCCTTAGAGGGTGAACTTATTCATTATCTCTATGACGCAAAACTCATGATATGGCACCCTAATTGACAGTTTTTATGTCAATTAGAGGATCTCTTCGTTGGTCAGTTCAAAGAGAGCCTACGGTTGATTATGCGATGTGTGTTGTTGGCGTGTCGACATTTTAGTTATGTGTAAATGAGAGACTGGTTTATAAATAATAATGTATTCCGAATCTTCATCTGAAAAACATTTAATCTGCCAGTGCCTGTGAATGTCAGGGATAAATTGGGTAATAATTACGTGAGCTCGTAGCCTTTGCAGGTTTATTTGGATGATTGTTAAGCTGATCAGTTAAGCATCATTAAATAGCATATGCCTGATAAAGGAACTTGGGGGTGGACTGTCCACAACTACGTCTTAGCCGCACAAGGGTAGACAACCGCAAGCCAGATCACATTTCAGCCTCCACCCTTAGTGGGTATAAAGGCCAATTGATGTAGTTTCGATTTCCTCTCAGTTTTGTTCATTTTCCCTCCAAGCATTTGGTTGATGCAAGGTGGAGAAAAAAAATCTGCACTTTTGTAATTTTTGTTCAAGTTGTAATTCATGTATAACCATGTGGCCACAAAAAAAAAACACATTTGATTTGTTGCGCCCATTTATTGTGGGAATCAAAATATATGCGTGAGTGTATTTGCGTACATACTGTGTATACGTGAAATACGCGTCCAGGCGTAATTGATTAAGTTTGCACACGCTGCTGCAAGAGCGGCCAACATGATGACAGCTCGAGTTTTCAGAGCGCCATCTTACGTGAGTTAGGGATGCACGTCTTATTTTGAATGATTATTTTTTTCCCATGGCATCAGTTTACAATGGCACCCAGTGAACCGTGCCACGCTCAGGCAAGTGAATGTGCCCTTATGGTCCAGTGCACTACCAACAGAGGCTTGCAGTAGCGCAGGAGCAGTCCACTGCTAGGCACGCTACATTCAAACCTGTGTGCCGCCTGTAGCTATTTGATATCATATGTTTTACAATCATGGGTTACGACCAATTACAGGCACAGTACTACTTGTGGTGTATATTTAATCATCCCATCTCAAACATGTTCAGGAAGTAAAACAATTTTAATTACACTCGGATGCAGCATATCTCGTTTACTTATTTCTTAAGTCCCAAGAAATTGAAATTGTAAATTTTCCGGCAGTGTGCACGCATGCAATCGTGTCAGTGCATGTAATATAGGGATTGACCTCGAAGCTATTTTAAAGTTTTTAAACATTGTTGAGATGGGTTGGCATTATAAGAGCAAGTATGTAAATAATTGCAAACGTGCGCAGATATTAATAAATTTGAAATTCCGGTGAAGACACGTGCATTAAATGTTACGATAACTTTAAAGCCCTTGCAAGAATTCTGCTACAAACCTGTTCAAAATCAAGACTGAGATGAACATTTTCAATAAGAATGATATTTCATATGAGATTTTATTGATGTGATTGTTAATGTTATTTTTCGATTTAAAGCTTTCGTGACTGCAGGGATTCATCTTCTTGGTTCTTTCGGTAAAGTCACGTAGAATGGAAATAATAAAATAATAAAATAAAACACAATAAGATAATTCTCACGACGTTTCGGCCACAACGCAAGCAGCCAAGAAGAAAATGTTATTTTTGTTTATAATGGTGGCTGCTGATTTAAAGAGGTTGTCCAAATTTTTTAGAAATTTCATGATTATACAAAATCTGCCTGATTATACCACCTCTATTAAAATGCAAAAAAATGTCTGTAAAAATGAGACCACCTCCTGTATGATAATTTCATAATTTATTTTCTGAAAGCTTAAAGGAGCTATGCCCCGTCCTTCTCAGCACACTCTTTTTTTATACGCTCGTGAAAATGACAACACTTAACGGATGTATCCTAACCGAGATTTACACTTCCTGTAATGATATACTGCACGCACGGGGTGGCGAGTGCAGCTGAGTCAGAGTGCCTACTGGGCTTTTTTTCCTTTTACGTTTTTTTCTTCCCCCTCAGCCTCACTCTACTTCACTGTATTCCAGCGGGATATGGTGTCATCCTCGTCTCGAGGAGGTTGTGGCTAATGGTGCTTGTGTTGTTGTACGTGTGTGTGTGTTTAGGAATGGCAGGTGCGGCGTGGCTCTACGGCCTGCTGGCCTCACTCTGGGCACTGACCAGGGCTCAGCCTGGCCCTTCCCCGCTCTTCACTTCAGTGGGAGAACGCTTCCTGCCCCAGGATTACACACACAACCCTGTCCAGCTAAACTACGGCGTGGCAGTGACCGATGTGGATGGAGACGGGGACCTTGAGGTCCTCGTAGCAGGGTACGTTGACTTTGTACCCAGCCCAAAAGAAACACCGTTCACGACGCCGTAAACTCAGTGTAGCATTTTAGAATGATCGTTCCTTTCATGGAGAAAGTCTACTCCATTTGCATGTATCTATGTTGGGCTTATTTCTCAGTGTGTACATAGCCAACCGTGCTAATCGGAGGCGAGGGGATGTCATGGCGTTTGATGGGGAGCTTGCGTTTCTTTTTCATGTTTACTTTCATTGCTCAAGGAGTTCACATTACGTGGAATTGCTTGCAAAAGTTCAATCAGTGATTAATGCACCGATTAAGATTTTACGAACTAAAACTCTAATAAGGGTTTATGATTATTATCTCAGTTCCATAAAATAAAATTCAAATCACTTTTAGTTTATTCTGGTCAATTGAAGTGGAAATAATGTAATTTACGTGACCAAGCATGCACATGGCAGGGTCATAAACCTGAAATGAATTGTTTCTGTTGCAGAGTTGGACATTGCAACTTCCATTTCAGAACAAACTTGTGAGGTTGCAAGTAAAATTTTTAAAATGCAATAAAATTATCTATTATAGATGTCTTTTAATGCATTAAAATCAAGTAGTGGCTAGTGGCTCTATAGTACTTCAAATTAGCTACAAAAACACACCTTCTTGCTCCATAAAAACTCTGTCTGCCACCAATCAGCAGACCTTGGTGGTGTCATTGTGGTCAGACCACACGTGTCTTGCAATGAAAAAGGTACAAGTTTCAATCCCTTTTACGGCTTGGCTCAGCCTGACACTCGGCTGGGCTTGATAAAAATGGGTACCGCGTTGTGGGAAGTCATCAGTGGTGGTCCTACGGAGCGAGTTATCCCCCCCATAGGAGTGTGCAATTTTCAACTTGGATCACGGACGCAAGCTGAAATAAGCACCACCATCTGCCCCGTGCTCGTTTGAGCAGGAAAACGCTTTTGCCATTTGATTCGCTGCAATATGCAGCGCAGTGGGGGCGCGGAGCAGCGTCACAGTGGGTCACGCTCCGCACGGTGAGTCTGGCCACCTCAGTTGGATTACCACCCCCAGCTCACATGAGTGGCGAGGGATATCCAAACCAGTCCTCTAGCCCCCACCGATCCAGTTTCACCATTCCATACTGACCAACAATGCTGAATTATTCTTGCCAGATGACCCTCATAACCAACGTTGCGTGGGGGAGGCCTTCATCCAGCAGTGCGCTGCCAAAGAGCTGTACTGTACATAATTTATATTTCGATTTGATATACAGTATATTACACCTTCATCCTGTGCAAGATTCGGACAAGCTGATGATTTGCACATTCTGCATTTGTTAACTATCTTACAGCAGATTAAATTAATCATTAAATTACCTAAATTAATTGAAGATACATTTTCACATTTGGGATTTGGATTATATTCTCAACCCACAGTGACCTTCCATTATAAATGGCAGCATACACAGCATATGTCCCACATGAGCTGTAATTAATGAAATACATGAAGATGGACAATCTCATAGAAACGATCTGATGACTCCATGCAAGCTATCCCTATTGGCAGACTTAGATATAGCCACATTTGCTCATCTTTACAATTTGTTATCATTCATTGTCATTGACTGGTCTAAAGGGCTTCACTCTCAGTCACAGAACGAAGTTTGGGGAATCAAATTGGTCATAGATTTGGAGGAAGATGGGTTGATTACCACAGTGGCCGACGCATGACTTGGGATAGATGGGGGCAGAGGGGTGAGTGGTGGGATTCTTGGAGTGCGTATTAGGGTGACTGAACATCCAATTAGACCAGGCAGGAAACCACGCTCATTTGGCCCAGGAGAATTGTGGTCAGCTTAGGTCATATGCAAATGGATCTGGGTCCACTGAGGTAAGACAAGGAAATAATAATTTGGCCTACACTGGTTCCATTTAGCTGAAATAGTAGTGGCTCCTGGAGGTCTTGCACTGTTAGATGCAGGAACCCAGATAGTGTTAGTTTAAGTACGCAATCTGTAAGGTATCCGACCTAATGCGATAATCTTAAACATTTGGACAATATTACAAGTGAACCACACAATTCTCAAAAAATCAGGAAAATTGTCGAAATAGGACAGTCTGTTACAATGTGAGAAAGGGCAGTCTATTAGAATGCTGATTTGAGTACAGAAGTTTCTGAATTAATTTATAGTGATGGGTGTGTGGGTCTGTTTACTCAAAAACCATTGTTCATGACCAAATATAAGAGTGTATTGATGAGACTCAGAGTTTTATTCCACTGGGTGCATAAAAACACAAACTTGACCCCATTTATTTGTGGAAGCACTTTCCATAAATATTCAAATGTGCAAAAATTTATCCAACTTAAGGTTAATTGTGCAACTAAAGATGCAAATGTGATTCCACTTTCAGACCTAGGAATGGCTACACCCTTGAAAGGCCCCTGTACGTATCAAGACAATAAAATGCAATTTTTATATATATGGTGTCGTCATGTAACATGTCAAAATGCTTTTCATCATTAACATCAGTAATTGTAAATCTGCTGCTGGATGAAGGCCTCCCCAGGCTGTTGCCATGTCTCACAGTCCAACGATGTGTCTGTCATTCCACACAGCACCTGCTTGTGAACTGTTATTGTCGCTGAATATCATCGTTTGAGAAACAGTTTAAATATTTCCATCACTACAGTAATTTTAAGATTATATCTCTATCACATGTTATGGTCCTGTCTTTGTCCCTCAGGGTGAGCATTTGTGAATTGCCAATCATCCTCCTCTCTGCTGCTTTCATGCAACCCAGTGCTCGCGATTATGTCTTCAATCACATTTATGTCGGGTTCTCTGATTTCTTTTTGTAACCTTTTTCAAAGGACTTCTGATAATATAATCTTCAGTCTCGCATCTCCATCTCTTTTTCTACGTCTCATTTTCTTCGAGTTTGTTGTGGTTTTCAGGCAACTTGTCCCTCGTTTGTTTCAGAACCGTTATGTTAGTTTTCGATGCATTGTCTATAATTGCATTATTTCAAATAGTGACAGTCATTTAATCATTTTAATCCTGTAGTTATTTCAATTTGTGTTGATGGAACCTTGAGGAATATCAAAATACTGTATTTTGGTCTCGGAGATGATGGATCTGTATTGGTGACACAGAAGGAGCGATATTATAGGTAAGAGCAGAACCAGCAGATGAGGTGCTGTGTGGTGTACAAGGGCCAAACATGGTTTTGACCTCCGCACACCACATCCTGTCCCTGGCAATTTAATCCGACACCACTTTGTGGTTTTGCCTCATGCTGCACCATAGAGAACTGGAGCTTTCTTCCATGTTCTTTTGATCCCTTCTCTCTTCCCCCGCCACCACCATCCTCGCATAAACACACTCGCCTCTAAATCCGCATAATAATCACCTCACAACCTGCTTGTGGGGCTTTTTGTTGTTGTTGCACACAATTACAGTTAATATAACAAAAAAACTCCCCCTCACGTGGTATCCCCCAATAATAGCACACCTGTATTTAGATTGTAAATAACTGTGCCCTTGTTCAGGCATTGTTGGTAATATTAGAGCATGTAAAGCACTCATGGGCGCAAATACCTATTTCAACGGGGGGAGCTACGCAAAATATGACCCCCTCCTTTCTGCCGACTTGTACTGAAATAGCTACAGATGTTTTTACCCCGTATACAACAATGTGTAAGGCTATAACTATATATATTATTTTAATTGCACCGTGTATTGGGTTTAGAGGAAGACAGTGTCACAGTGACATTATTACTAAAACAGATTTAAAGGTACAATGCTCACAATTAAGCTGTCGTTCGTCTTGCTTTCATGTGCATGTCATTTAACAAAAAAGCCTGGTGGTGTTCAGTAACAAACACCAGTAGCATGCTGCCATATTTTAAGCGTGGAATTTTTTCGGAGATATTTCTTTTTAGTTTGTAACAATGTTTTTCGCATTCATGGTTAATTGTTGGATTTTTTAAATGTCTTTAAAAGAATGGTTACTTTTTAATCTGATTGTGCAGGGGCCCCCCTTGTGCCCGACTGAGCGCCTATGCGTTGCACAACGCTGCCACATACCCCCCCCCCCCATACCATAGTTGCACCCCTGAAAGTACTGGTAGTCTTGTAACTCTGGGGGTTACTGTATCTGAGCTCGGAGTCTGTACTTTTTCGCGATTGCCAAGACCCCAACTTAGGCTGGACAGCTGTGAGGAAGAGAGATTGTAGCTCACTGGGCCTTTTCCAGTTTCAGATGATAATGTTTGTTGAGACTGGAGGAGGAATCAAATGATCTATGAAGCTCTTTTTCACATATATCCAGTTGGGGTGGGTCCGCAAGTTACAACAACAACTAAAACTATTTAAGTGCAAAATAGAGAAAAGATAAGCATGTCACAAAAATAAATAAAAAAGAAAGTATATAAGTATTAATTGCACAAGTACATCAATTCCTGCCGATGTTTGACCACAATGTGAGCTAAGGCAAGGCAGCACAACCACAAAATATCTGTCTACAAATGCAGATTCTCACTTCCCTCGCCACTTGTCACACACACACACTCATATATAGCAAAGGTTGGGGAACGTGCCCTTCCAACACTCGTCTTCCTGTCTTTTCACATGTTAACCGATAAAAGCAAAGACTGGAAAGTTCCCTATGCTGACTGACCTTTAGGATGGTCATCCAAATGCCTTTTGGTACTGCTGTGATAGAACTATGAGCGTTACACACTACTTAATACACCGTTTACATGCACTGTTATGATTGTTTGTCACAGTACTGGTCAATTAGTAGCTACTAGTTGAGCTTGCTGTAGTGGTTAGTGATGCATGCGTTAGTTCAGCTCACCTTTTAAGTCATGGTGGTTGTTTGACCATCCTTCACCATGCTGGTCAGTGCAAGTTGGCAAATTTGAGCGCCCAGTAATAGTTCAAACATCACTCACCGTTTTAGGGGCTTCATACTCAGGTCGCTGGGTACATTAGCAGAGTGCTTTAACTATTGCGCC